ACTAGCGAAGATAGCCCTCGTGTAGTTTTGCGCGAAATTCAAAAACAAACAAAGGTTTCCTGTCTTACGATTCTGCGTTATTAGTGCACGAGGAAATTACTACTTAACGATTAAGGGCCAGTGTGGCTACTTTGTGGAGACAAATTAGGTAATAAGTTTGAGTAGCCGTAAATGAGATGCTCACCTCGTTAGTGGACGCGTTTTAACATTCAACTTATGTATGGTGCTTCCAGCTTTACGAACAATAAACTTGCTGATGTACGATGACAGCATGACCAGTAAGAAGCCCAAGTGATTATCATTATTGTAACATAATTACTGTTTTATGTATAAAATTCAATATGTGGTTGAAGCGGTAATTACATTTTGCTGTGAATTTCATTACTTTGTGAAAAATGTCTTAATTTTTTATTTAACGAAACATTTCTACTATATTTGTGGTAGAATAAGATTTATATTGACATTTATGTGGATATTTTCCAGTTACATATTTCATAGAAACATCTTATTCCTATTTCAAATCAATGAATACTATGTTAATGTTACAGTTTGGTTCGATTTTCACAAACTGTGCCAAATCGAAACCTCTGTTAATAAATAATCACAATTTATTAGAAACATTAACATGCTACAGACACTACAATAAACAGAAACTGTGTTTTGTGAATGGTTATAAGTCATTAAATTAGCTTTCATCGTATTTCATCGACGGAAGGTGCGCTAGATATTCAAGGTATTTAACCTAAGCTAAGTTATTGGAATATTTATCTTAACTATCGGTATAGACTCTTACTGAGGAAAGTTAAGTCTTCACAGGCATAGGAACACCACAGTGAAGCATACAGAAACTAATAATTAAATTCATTAATTATTCAGTTCTATCAACATCCATTAATGGTATTGTAACAAAATATAAATATAAAAACTGTGAATGATCTGATTTAGATATGTTGTCTGTACTGGATAGATTACATAACTGAATAATATCTTGTAGGGGGTTGAAAATAAGAGAAATTCTATGATTTTTCTATCCTCATATTTACATTTAGTATCTGAAAAGTCGAGTTATCAAAACTTGAATACTTATATATCTAAGAACTGAATCGGAAGTAAATGTCTGTATAAAGGTTAAGATATGCCGATTTGGTTAGTCAACACCGCCAATTCTTGGGCTACTCTTTTACCAAAGAATTGTGGGATTGATCGTCACATTATAACGCCCCACGACTGAAAGGATAGGCATGTTCTGTGACGAGCCCGCGGCCCGTAGATTGCGAGTCGAGCGCCTTAACTACCAGGCCATGCCAGGCAAGATATAAAAAAATAAGCTTAAAATATGCTAATTTGTTATTTATTTCTATTGTGTAAAAATGTAAAAACATTAGTAGGCAAACAAAAATAAAAAACACTGGATTTTGGACAAAATTAATTAACTTATTTTTAGTATTATGGAGAAGTTAAGTGACTATGTTCACTGTGAACATAAGTAAAAAAAATAAACATCAAATGATTGTGGAATCAATACACCTTCGTAACTTGATGCAGTCAAATTTATCAGTAATTTATATAAGTATAAGTATTTATATCAGTAATTTATATAAGGATAAGTATTTAAATCAATAATTTATATAATTTATAATTATATATTTATATCAGTAATTTATATAAGTATTTAAATCAATAATTTATATAAGTATTTAAATCAATAATTTATATACGTATAAGTATTTAAATCAGTAATTTATATAAGGATAAATATTTATATCAGTAATTTGTATAAGTATAAGTATTTAAATCAGTAATTTATATAAGTATAAGTATTTAAATCAGTAATTTATATAAGTATAAGTATTTAAATCAGTAATCTATATAAGTATTCAAATCAGTAATTTATATAAGTATAAGTATTTATATCAGTAATTTATATAAAGATATAAATATATGATTATAAATTATATAAATTACTGATTTAAATACTTATACTTATATAAATTACTGATATAAATATATATAATTATAAGTTATATAAATTACTGATATAAATATATGATTATAAAATAAATATATGATAATAAATTATATAAATTACTGATTTAGATACTTATACTTATATAAATTACGGATATAAATATATATATAATTATAAGTTATATAAATTACTATCAGTAATTTATATAATTTATTATCATATATTTATATCAGTAATTTATAATTATATATTTATATACTTTTTATACTTATAACTTATAAGCGATTTATATACTTCACGACTCAGTACAGTGGAACATGCTTGTAACTTGCTCGGTATAGTGTGGATATCTTGTAACTCACAGTAACTGACGTATAGTGTAAACATACCTCTAATTTACAATAAATGATGATTAACTAACCTCATGACTCGATATAGTGTGAATATCTTGTAACTCACAGTAACTGACGTATAGTGTAAACATACCTCTAATTTACAATAAATGATGATTAACTAACCTCATGACTCGATATAGTGTGAATATCTTGTAACTCACAATAACTGAAGTATAGTGTAAACATACCTCTAATTTACAATAAATGATGATTAACTAACCTCATGACTCGATATAGTGTGAATATCTTGTAACTTGCAATAACTGGCTAACAATTAGGTTCGTGACTCATTGAATATTTACAACTTTAATCACAATTATTATTTACTCAGTACAAAAAATATGAGTAATTTATACTAAATCATTATGATTTTATTTTGTGGCTAATTTAGTACGAACGTATATGTAATTCAAATCAGCTTTTTTTTTACTGTTTTACTGTATGACTCGACACACTGCGAATATTTATATGTATATTCATATAATATTTACAGCAACCTATTAGAAAGCTATTTGTTTTGTAGAATGTGAGCATTTATGTAATTCACATCAACCTATTTTGAACCAATCCTAGACTAGTACAATGAAAAAATATCAGTAATGCGGTATAAATTATTAACATAGTGTTTATCCTAAGAAGTCATTTTCGTATTTTCTTATCGTTACTTTTAACACTATTTCATTTTATCAGTTAGACTTCTTATGCTCTTTATTTTACCCCACCGACATTTTTTTTCTCATTTGTTATTATTAAAAAAATGTAACTGTCGTTCAATTTTTAAAACTAAAAAAAAGATATATATTATTGTTATCAGTTGTAATTCACAGCTGCTACTCCTACCACATTTATTACAAATCACAGTCGCAAACGTACCTTTTACGATCATGGTTTTTTGTGCTGAGACTGTCTGAAATGACGGAGCATCTGCTGACACTTCACAACGGAACAGGCCCTCGGTTGACGGCTTCAATCCTCGCATAAATACCACTCGTTCATCGGAAAGGCTTACCTATAGAATGTAGGAAATAGAAACCACAATTCAAGAAGAATACCTTTATTTTTAACGTTCATACCACGTTTAGCTTCTTCTTTCATTAGGATGAATGATGTCAAAAGGATTGATCTATCTTCTAAGTCAGCTTAGATCAATTACGAAAAGCTCCAGCCTTCATAAATGAAGTCGATGTGAAGAAATTAATGTATTTTATAATAAATTTTAAAAAGTATCACCGTATTTTGCCGGCAGTGTTAAGAGTAACACGATGTTATAGATTAATAGTTGTATATTTTTCAAAAGTTTTTGCAATTCAGACATTTTTCTAAGTGACGATGAGGATATACATTTGGTTGTTGTTGTTGTTTGTTATTAAGCACAAAGCTACACTAAGGACTATCTGTGCTCTGCCCACCACGGGTATCGAAACCCGGTTTCCAGCAGTATAAGTCCGTAGAAAATACATTGGGAAGTATACATCTTCTTAAAAGCTATACTGTAAATTCGGTATTCAAAGCTATTCTTGCTCATACATGATACAAGGGTGCTTCTTCTGATTAACTTGATAACATTGGTTCCGTCTTTTCTAACAAACGGTGGAGTAGTTTCATATATTTTCTCGATGTAGAATAAATTTTTGTTGTGAGAAACTATTTTTATTACACGAATACACACACACACATATATATATATATTAATCTTAAGTCATTGACCAGTTTTACCTCCATATAGATAGATAGGCGTAACTAAATCGAATACCAGCCAAATACAGCATTCTAATATGTAGTAGTAACTACATTCAAAAGCCACTTAACACAACATTCCAATTTCTGATTGTAACTAAATTCAATAACCACTTAGCACAGCATTCCAATTTCTGATTGTTATTAAATTCAATAGCCACTTAACACAACATTCCAATTTGTGATTGTTATTAAATTCAATAGCCACTTAACACAGCAGTCCAATTTGTGATTGTAACTAAATTCAATAACCACTTAATACACCATTCCAATTTCTGATTGTAACTAAATTCAACAGCTACTTAATACAACATTCCAATCTGAAATTGTAATTAAATTTAGTAACCACTTAACACAACATTCCAATTTCTGATTGTAACCAAATTCAGTAGCCACTTAACACAACATTCCAATTTGAGATTGTAACTAAATTCAACAGCCACTTAACACAACATTCCAATTTGTGATTGTTATTAAATTCAATAGCCACTTAACGCAACATTCCAATTTCTGATTTTAAATAATTTAATTCAATAGCCATTTAATATAACATTCCAATTTGTGATTGTAAATAATTTAATTCAATAGCCACTTAACACAGCATTCCAATTTGAGATTGTAACTAAATTCAACAGCCTCTTAAGACAACATTCCAATTTGTGATTGTTATTAAATTCAATAGCCACTTAACACAACATTCCAATTTGTGATTGTTATTAAATTCAATAACCGCTTAACACAACATTCCAATTTCTAATTTTAAATAATTTAATTCAATAGCCATTTAATATAACATTCCAATTTGTGATTGTAAATAATTTAATTCAATAGCCACCTAACACAGCATTCCAATTTGTGATTGTAATTAAATTCAATAGCCACTTAACACAACATTCCAATTTTTGATTGTAACTAAATTCAACAGCCTCTTAACACAACATTCCAATTTGAAATTGTAATCAAATTCAATAGCCACTTAACACAACATTCCAATTTCTGATTGTAACAAAATTCAACAGCCTCTTAACACAACAATCCAATTTGAAATTGTAATTAAATTCAATAACCACTTAGTACAACATTTCAATTTCTGATTGTAAATAATTTAATTCAATAGCCACTTAATACAACATTCCAATTTCTGATTGTAAATAATTTAATTCAATAGCCACCTAACACAGCATTCCAATTTGTGATTGTAATTAAATTCAATAGCCACTTAACACAACATTCCAATTTTTGATTGTAACTAAATTCAACAGCCTCTTAACACAACATTCCAATTTGAAATTGTAATCAAATTCAATAGCCACTTAACACAACATTCCAATTTCTGATTGTAACTAAATTCAACAGCCTCTTAACACAACATTCCAATTTGAAATTGTAATTAAATTTAATAACCAATTAACACAACATTCCAATTTCTGATTGTAACTAAATTCAATAACCACTTAATATACCACTCCAATTTCTGATTGTAACTAAATTCAACAGCCACTTAACACAACATTCCAATTTGAATTTGTAATTAAATTCAGTAAACACTTAACACAACATTCCAATTTCTGATTGTAACTAAATTCAGTAGCCACTTAATACACCATTCTGGAAAGCGCACTTCTTGCTGGCGTTATTTTACTAAGCTTATTTTCTTTCAAAATCCGACTGTACATTTAAATAACACTACGTCAGTCTATTTGACTTTATCTTATGGTACTAATAGTTGCAATTAATCTTGGTCGCTAACTCTTGAAGTGTATATTCTGATTCTCAAATCTTCAGAGGAAGTAAACGAGATTCAATCCTACCAGATTTTCTTCTCAAACATGTTTAAATCTGTCTGTAATATAAAATCAAATGCACGACAAGGTATTAAGAATATGATTATACAATCATGATTCTCCCTATAAACTTCGTTTCAAATCTCGTTTATGGATGTAGAAACAGTCACTTTGGGGAGGGTAATCATTGTAAAACATACTATTTTTTAATCATTGTAAGTATCTAACTATTCTGCAGAACGATTTGAAACTCGATATTTGAAATTCAACAATAACTACTTGGAATACCACACTGGCACTTTACTTAGTGTATGCGATTAAATGATACTTCATTATCATCATGAACAATAAAGTTTTTATTGTGCTGTTCCGAGCAAAATTACTGATATTTCTCATTTATTCTCATGTAATAAAATTTAAAGCACAACTGAACCCATTAAAACTTTTACATGAACGTAAAATATTTCAAACCATCCTTCCGAATTTCATTGTTAATAGTTGTATGTTAACAATTACACAGGATGGTTTCATGTAAGTTTGAAATTCATCTACTTTTTTTCCAAGATAAAAAATCATAGATCTTACTGTTTAATAATCTATAATCTTAAAATATTGATGATTTTATCTAGAAATATATTCTACAGAATATCTAAAAACTGTAACAAACACACTGGTAACGAAGATTAAAGATATCAGGGATATTCTTTGAAATACGCTTAATATGAAACTGGTTACTGCTCTAAGAAAACACGAAAAAAAGTTTCAAATTCTTTTAATGCGATCTATAAAACTTTAAGAAATAATCATTCATTAACGAAATTTTTTTCATTTAGAGTGTTGTTTTGTGGGATTTAGTTTTAGTACTGTAAAACCTTAATTTCTGGAAATTCAGTCATACACTTACTCTACTAATATTTTCTAAAAGTATATTAATGCTGACGTTGGTTCGGCCTATTGCTTTAAAGTTGTTTGACTATTACAACACATGGCCAGGTGGTTAAGGCACTCGACTCGCAATCTGAGGGTCGCAATCTATCTGCGCTAGCCGTCCCTAATTTAGCAGTGTATAACACTAGAGGGAAGGCAGTTAGTGATCACCACCCACCGCCAACTCATGGGCTACTCTTTTACCAACGAATAGTGGGTTTGACCGTCACATTATAACGCCCCCACGGCTGAAAGGGCGAGCATGTTTGGTGTGACTGGGATTCGAACCCGCGACTCTCAGATTACGAGTTGAACGCCCTAACCACCTGGCCATGCCGCGACCTCAATGTTAAGGTTCTGAGCTAATTTTCATTCAGTTTCTCATACAATCATAATATCAAAAGTGGTATGCAGTTAACGTAACTTATTTCAATCATTAAAAAAATATATGTATGGAATATTTTACATGTATAATAAAGTTTTAGAAAATATATAATTTTTAAAAAGAAAGAGTATACTAGCTATAAATAGTTTAAATAAAAAGTTGTTTTACCTTTTCTTTTGTGCATTAGTTTAATGACTTTATACTTTAATTGAAGTGACCTCTATAGGAAAGAATTGAACTTACTTAATGTAATAGGTATCATACGAGATTCAAACAAAAATAGTGGATATTTGATCAGGTGTGGAACTCCAAGTCCAACATGTGTTTTACAGCGAAGCAAAACACATTTGTTTAGAATAATTATACATAAAAGGAAGCGTATATGAGGAATAAGCAGAATAAATAAATAAATAAAATCCATTTTTTTCTTATATTAATTAGTTGAACTACTTTATATTTTACAGTATTGAAATTTAGAAATGCTAAATAGTTCATGACAAAGATAGGCTAGAAAACAATGTTTGAGTTTTAAAAAGTAAAACTAAATATCAACTTTTAATTGAAATCAAAAGTAATATAGTAAATAGAATCCATATAATCATCAACAGAAGCCAATTATATAATACCAGTTAACTTTGTTCCGTTTGTTCGATAGTAATGAAATTCAATACAGTAAGGATAAAAGTAGAATTATTAGGCTGCTGGAAAAAAAAAGAAAGAAAAACGTTTAATAATCCCAGGCATAATTTTCTAGTAAAAAATCTGTATCAACAAAAGCATAGGATAGTTGGAAGATAAAGGAGACCAGTTATTATTTTGTAATGAAAGTAGGTAAAAGTGTGATCAATAAATGGTATTACATACATGTTGACTGTAAACCACATCACTACCGTTTGTACAGGAGTGTTCGATAAAAAAAAGTAATCCCTGATCTTGAATTACCATGTTTCCAGTCTACATGTTTTTACGTTTACTATCATTTATCATGAAGGATTATCTACGTTGTGTCACTGCTTTTGTTACTTTCGTTGATTCAAAGGTTTAATCTCTCATTATTTAATATATAATTTCCAATAAAGCAGAGAATTTGAGATTAAAGAACACAATGGAATATTATGATTAAAATATATGTTTCTTTAACAAAGACGACGCCTACTGTATTTTGATGCTGAATAT